TCCCCGAGTGAGGAGTGGCGCGCGTACAGGCAAACTTGAAGGTGGAGAGGCTCGTGGCCGGGTAGGTGAGCGTGAGCTTGTGGAGGATGGAGAAGGCCTGGAAGGCGTGGGCGTATTCGGGTGGCAGAGCGAGCTGCTGGAGCTTCTCGCTGAAGCGCTTGGTGAGCTTGAGCAGAGCCCACATGTCCGGGAAGCCCTCCGCCGTGCACAGCACCGTGATGAGGGATGCGTCGTTCCACTTGTACAGCACATTGGTCACCAGCCTGCATGCCCGCGCCCCCTCCCCGCGCACGTAAGAGAGCGCGCCGGTGCTTTGACCTTTAAAGATGACCCATACGGTGGCCGTGGCCGCGGCCGTGCGCCCACGCGTGTCGTGCGGGCGCGGGTGCGTGCGGTTGGTCGTGCGCGTGTGATGCTCGTACCGCAGGAGCTTGCCCAGGTCGTAGAGGTACCAGAGCTTGGTGCAGGCCATGCCCGCGAAGAACTGGCGATCGGACAGCGCCTCCAGCGAGGCCAGAAAGTACCGCACCCCCTCCACGTTCGTCGGCACGGGCGACGTCGCTTCGCTGGACCCTCCCGCATGGCGTCCCCCTGCCCCGTGGGTTACCAGGGACTTGGCCAGCCACAGCCCGATCGTATCTGCTCGACACGACACGACACGACACGACACGACACACAACACCATACACGCCGGAGTGAGCAAGGATGACCACACCACGTCGACCAGGAACTTGGCACTGTGTGTGTCATGTGAGTGCGTGCGAGAGTACCGAAGAACTGGAGGCAGGCCACCACGTCGCGATCGCTGGCAGAACCGCCCGTCCGCTGCTGCTGCTGCTGCTGCTGCCCAAGGTGGGGCATCGCGCCCTGCTCGAGGAGCTCCCGAAAGTCCCGCTGGCTGGCCACGTCCGCCAGCCCCACGCACCCCGCCGGCATACGACCTGCTCGCAGCGAGGGGAAGGGGGAAGGGGAAGAAAGGGGGAATGCCATCAATGGTGGGGAAGAGGGGAAAAGCCAAATGAGGGGGGGGGAAGGAGGAGGTGAGCGAAGCGTCGACGGGGGGGGGGGAAGGAGGAGGAGGGACGGGACGGGGGACATGAGGAGGGTGGGGTGGGGTGGGTGGGGTTGTACATTGGAGAAGGGCGAGGTCGTGGAGGAGCTCGGGGCAGCCCGAGGTGAAGAGGTGAAAGCGGTGGCGGAGGAGGCGCCCCACCCCGAACTGCTGCTTGGTGCACTGCTCCTGCAGCAGGCGCACGTCCCCCTTGTTGTGGGCGGGGCCTTGCTGCAACTGCAGCAGCTGCTGCTGGGCGCCTGGGGCCACGGACTGCAGCAATCGCTCCACGACCCCCGCCGCCCACTCTCCTGCACCCCCGCTACCACCACCACCGCTCGTGGCCCCACTACTGCCGCCCAAGGCGGCGAGCCAGGAGCCGGCAGAGGCCACCACAGAACCGAAGGAGGGCACAGTGCGGCCCCACCCCAGCTGCCCTCCGTCTTTGGACGGTGGAGGAGGAGGAGGAGGCTGCTGGCGAGGACCCTCCATTGTTTGTTTTAGTTTTTTTTTTTGCATTTCTATTTGTATTTATGCTGTTTGCTTAGCATTGGCGGGTGCAAAGCAGGAATTTCGCCGGTACCTGCTGGCAACGCGGTCACAGCCTGGCGGTGAGGCGGTCCTCCTGGTGCGCGGGTTGCTGGTGGTGCTGGGCGGGCGACGCGTCAAAGGAGCCGTGGCGTCCCACTCTGCAGTGGTGGTCGTGGTGGTGTACATCAGGATCACAATAGCCATGATGACGAGCCAAGGAGGCACGTCATGCTCCGACACCAAGCGCGAGGGTGGTGGCGGAGCGCGTCGTCATCACGGCGGCGGCGGCGGCGGCGGCGGGGACATGGCACGCTACCCGGCAGCAAATCGGGCCGCCCCTGCTCGCATCTCCCGCTCGAGAGCGGGGAGGCTCTTGCGGAACTCGTTGCGCAAGGCCTCCTCAAGGCTCAGATCCCACTGCTCGTAGGCCGACATCCGATCGCAGCGCAGACACAGCTCCGGGAAGGCCGCCAGGGACCGCGCCTGTGGCAAGCACGCACGCACGCAGCATCACCACAGCTGTACTGCAGTACACCTGTGGTAACTCGGAAAACGACGGATCACGTACGAGCTCAATGGCGGCCTGCTTTGCCTGACCTGAAGGTACGACGCGGTTCGCCAGGCCCGCCTGCAAGGCCTCCGCCGCTGAGACTGGGCGCCCGGTGAGAATCTTGCGCAGTGTGCGACACGGGCATATATGTGCGTGCGTGCAAGTTGATCAGATCGATGGTTGGATAACTGCAAGAGAGACTGACATCTCGCATACCATGTCGAGAGCCCTGCTCATTCCGATCAGCCTCGGCAAGCGTACGGTGCCACTGTCCACGCACGCACCACCCGCGAAGTGGTTAGCGCAATTGCGAAGAAGGGAGGTACGGCAAGCGACGAGGATGGCGGCACACCCGTCGATGAGTGGCACACCCCAGCGCCTGCAGAATACGCCGAAGGTGGCGTCTTCTTCCACGACTCGCAGGTCGCACCAGCAAGCTGGGGGATTGGGGCGGCGTGTATCGTGTATCGTGTGAAGGAGAGGAGAGAGGAGAGGAGAGAGGAGAGGAGAGAGGAGAGGAGAGAGAGCTCTGGTCAGCTGGCAGGACCGCCAAGACCAGTAGAGAGGGGCATACCCAGCTCCAGTCCACCAGCCACCGCGTATCCTGCCCCCTCCCCCCCAATGCGGATGGCGGTGATGGTGAACGAATGGTGGAACTCGTCATCAGATTGGTGTGCGCCCGCCCAGCACAGAGAGTATTCTCACCGCCATCCGCCAAACAAAGGGTTGGGTTTGAAGGAGGCACCCGAGATGGCGGCGATGACGGGCTTAGAGAGGAGAAGGCGAGTAGGACCCATGGGTCCATCTCCGTGTGGCAGGAGCCGGTTGCGTCGGCTGCTCCCCTCCCTCTGGTCACCGCCTCCTGCCTCCTCCTCGCTTTCGCCAGGGCTGATGGCCTTGAGGTCGGCACCAGCGCAGAAAGTGCCCCCAATGCCGTGCAGCACCCCCACCTTGGCCCTCGGGTCGGCCTCGAGCTCCTCGCGCAGTGCCCGCGTGAGAGCCTCGGCCGTTGGTCGGTCCACAGCATTGCGGGCATGCGGGCGATTCAGGCCCACAACCACTACCCGCCCCTCGTCCACTCGCTCTACAACCACCAGCGGGCTCGGTTGGTTCTGTGCCGACGTCATTTTTTGAAATATCTATAAAACTGGTGCGTGGTTGAATTTTGTATTTCTTCGTCCGCAGACAACACTTTCACAAACTTTTCCCGCCAAAATTCCTCCGCAAGAAAGGCCAGAAGAAGTGATCCGATCGCAGGTGCCGCTGTCCCACCGGTGCTGTGCCAACAACTTGGCACGCAGCTAATCACGCACAACACCCAAAACATGGTATTAAACAAGTTGCTTTTGACTCCACTGCGCCTCATTTAATTACATCTATTCGTCGGATGCAGCTGCGCTTCAGGGCAGTGGATGAAGAGGCCGAGCCTTCGCCCTACGATAGTTCGGAAAATGAAGAGGCCAAGTGCCTCGAGCTTTACAAGGAGGCACTTGCTCTGCAAAGTGCTGGAGATGTGCGGGCCTCGAAGCTGCACTACAAACAACTTTTGCGCTCCCCTTTCCTCGCCACCACGGTCCGTCCACGTTGCCTATGCGCGTTCTTGGAGGTGTGTGCGACTCACCGTCCCCTCGAATGCCCAACAGAGTCACGGTTCGAGCGCCAACGTGGCAGCGCTCAAGCTCCGCTACCTCTGCTTGAAGAACCTGGCTGACGTCAACGACGCCCAAGGAAACGCCAATGCTGCGCTCAAGTACTACGTGCAGGTAGGCCGATTAGCTACGTTTAGACGTGTGGTGTGTCGCGTGCGCGCGTGCGTGCAGAGGCAGTAGGCGAATTACTTGTAGCCTTAATGGCTCGTTCTCGTTCTCGTGTTCTCTTTCTCCCCCCCCCCATGTCATATATAGGCGCTGGACGTAGAGTCGACCGATGTGGCGGTGTGGTACCATGTTGGAAGCCTCGCTCGTCGCACCCACCATACGGCGTTGGCCAGGCACGCCTTCGAACGGGCGCTGTCGTGCAATCCCAAGCACTGGCTCTCTCTCGAAGCTTTGCTCGAGGTACGGCCATTGCATAGCCGCCTCGGCCGCCCTCTGTAGCGCACCCGCCCACCACACACGTGTGTGTGTGGAGCCGCTTGTAGAGCGACCCATTCACTTTTTACACATGTGGGTGCACGCACGGCCCCCTCCGCGGCAGGTGGTTTTCGAGATCGGCGATCAAGCTGGCTGCCGGCGAATTTGTAAGCAGCTGCTCCAGCTGGACCCGGGTCACACCTCTGCGCTTGCTCTCCTCGGACAGCTTGCCTCTGTTCCTGACCTCACGTGCGAGAACAGCCTGCCTGCGGAACTGCGCACCAAGCGCAAGTGGAAGGGTGCACTCTCCCCGCTCCATGCTCCAGCCCGCCAACAGCTCATCCATTCGCCATTTCGATCACGCCCAACGTACCGCGCTACAGCACTACTCCTCTAACCCTCATAAGGGGTTGCTCTACCGTTATCGCCACGCTGTCTGTCTGTCTGTCTGTTTGTCTGTCCGTCCGTCCGTCCCTCCAATAGAAGTAGCTACCGAGGAAGATCGAGGAGTCACCGCGCGCCCTTACGACATCGATGCCCTCACGTGGGAAGCCCTGGCGGGCTTGCTTCTGTCCATCTATAGGCTCGCTTCGCTCAAGTACGGACTTCCGGTCGCTTAGCCCGCGCGCACCCGCTTGCGGATGCACACTTCCATGCACAGCAGTGCTGTAACGTTATTCTCACGCTGGTGGTGTCTGCGGTGGGTCCACGTCGCAGCGGCTCGCTGAGTACGCCGGTCACGATAGTAAGGACGGCCCGCACGCTGGACAACCCCACCGCGGAGCCCCTTCCACAGGAGCCCACCACCTCCGCCGTTGTCTCGTCCGCGACGGACGACGTGAAGAGTCCGCCACCCCGCAAGCGCTCGCGTTTCAGCACCGAGCTCATGGGAGAACGGAGGCAATCATCCCGCGTCAAGGACAAGTCCAAACCGGATGCTCCTCAACAAGACGCTCGCTTGGCCTCCCTCGCCTCGTTCTTCAGACAATGGAGCAGCTCGGCTCAGCAATCGTACGTCCTCCTCCCCCCGCCACCGCCACCACATGAGAAGTGTCATAGCGCACGCGAGCCTCATCTCTTCCCACAACACGCGCACGCACCTCGCATAGTGACGGCGGTGTTCAAGAATTCCGGAAGGTGGCAGCAACAGATGTTTTCCCGCCTGCCCGAGCGGCCGAGACACGCTACGAATCGCAGGACGTGCGGTCATCTCTTGAACGGCGGCGAGGCGAAGAAGCAGATGCGGTGATTGAGTTCATACGACGGTGCGCGCCCCCGCAGGCCACTTTGTCTGTCCGGCAGGCAGCATTGACTCCTTACGACAGGTACGCCTCCGTCGGTGGCGGCAACAATCGAGGGATCATGGAGCTCATGCGCGCATGTCTGGTTTGGGCTTGCCTTGACCTGCCCGACACGGTGCCCTGGAACGCTTTGATCAAGGTAGCTCACACAACACCACCGGACTTACACGCGCCACGCGACACCTAGATCCTAACGAACTGCGCAGGAACGATTGGTGGCCCTGCACCAAGGGGTCATTTCGCACTCTACGACTCCCCACCCGTCATGGGTGCCTGCTGCCGAAATTGCCTTTGACCTCGCCCGCGGCGACCAGTCAGCGGCCAGCTCACGCTTCCTGGCCACCTGCCAAACGACCACCGACCACCTCTTCATGGATCAGCCATTCTTGGACTCTCTCGACGCGCGCCTTCTCACGCGCCTCTTCTGGCTGCGAGCTCGCGCCAGCGCTATGCGGTTCGGCTCCGTCTCCCTCCCCTCCCCTCCCCTCCCTCCATCTGAGGCTTGCCCCTCCCCTCCCCATCATTGCATGCATTATTGTACAAAGGGGCCTTGCACGCACTCACGGCACCTCTCTCCCCCTCCTCCCACTCATTTAGTGGAGATGCCCAGGCCACCACCATGAATCTGCAAGCGTGCCGCACTCACTATGCCGAAGCAGTACTGGCTTCGTCGGGAGGAGGAAGAGGAGGCGAACGGCACATTGTCGTCGCATACCTGTGCGTACCTCACACGACACACGACACACACGACACACACGACACACGTCGTGCACATGATGCCATATAGTGGCAATGTGATTCAAGGGGGGCTCACAACTCAAAACGGGCGGCGCCGATCGTCAGAGCGGAAGGGAGTGTGATCGATGAGGAGACCATATCCCGGGTGGAGGAGAGCATTCGCAGCAAGGTGGACAAAGCGCACGTCTCGAGCGCCTTCCACGCGCGCAATTACCAGGAGGTGGTGCGCGTGTTGGGTCCCCGCCTGATGGCAGCCCCCGCCCCCAAACCCAACAACGCAGCGATGCCGCGGCAGGAGAGAATCTACCTGCTGGGTCTACTGGCCGAAGCGTACCGCGGCTGTGGCAACCCTCACCAGGCGCTCTTGTGCGGGCAAACGCTGTTGCACGAGACCGTCGCCGACCTGAGCAATCCCTTAGCCGACACTCGACAGGCCACCCTGTCCCTACTGGCCACCGTGCGCTCCGTCCCACCGGGCACCACATGGCTCACGCCGCTCATCCCCGACCTCAAGGAGCTCCTCCGCACTACTGCCCTCCAAGCCGCCGCCCACCCCAACCGGTACACGCTCGCCCTCGTGTGCCGTGTGCCGTGTGCCGTGTGCCGTGTGCCGTGGCAGGTCTCTTACCGCACATTGGGTGGGCGCAGAGAGCTGGGAAGGGGCGTCACGGCGCTGGCCCTCTCGACCTACTTGTGCCTGCTGGAGCACGAGTCGGGGTCCGCCAGCAACCACCACCACCACCTGGTGGACTACGTCGCGGCGGCTCATTCCCAGCTTGCGCAGCTGGGTGCGTGCCGGCACGAAGATGGCGCCTTCCTCCGCTTGGCCATCCCGCACCTCTCTCACGTCCTGTCTCGTGAGGAGAGCGATCGCGCCACGGAACCGCGGACGAAGAGTACGGAGGAGGGCCGCGAAGAAGAAGAGACACGGAAAGCGAGCGAAGACGAGGAAAAGGTACACCACCACGACCACGACCACGACCACCACCACCACCAAAACCAAACACCAACACTACCAACAGGGAAAGGAGGACGGGAGCGAGAGCGAGGAGATGAAGGAAGACGACGACGACGACATCGAGGAGGTGGAGGAAAGGGTCGAGGAGCAGCTGCTCCAGTGCCTCTACTGCCTCTACAACGTGCAGCTGTGCGACGCCAGGAAACTTGACTCCCACCCGGGGCGGGGCGGCCTCTTCTCGCCAGAGACCCCTGCCCAGGCTGCCGCTCTATTGCGCGCCATCCACCCCTTCATACGGCGCCCTGCCCGCCTCCCCGCCGCCCTCAAGGCCTCTGCCTTTGACGCCCTCCAGCAAGTGCTCCACCACTTCCCGCTTCCGCCGGCTTCCCTGTGTACGTACAAACCCAACCCAACCTGCAATCCAACCTGCAATCCAACCTGCAGCCCAACCTGCAACCCAACCCAACTTGCGCACGGGTTGCAGACAAGGACGGGAAGCGGTGGGTGATGGCGGTGGTCAACGGGGAACCAGAAGCGTCAGCTGAGGCGCGGCCTCCGACCTATGGGACAGCGGCTGCCGTCGAAGGGGACTTCCACCAAGTCTACGAGAACCTCTACTTCCTGCTGGCCAAGTGCATGACGAAGAGGGAGCAGCAGCAGCAGCAGCAGCAGGAAGCAGCGGACAGCGCGAGCCGCGAGCGGAGCAAGGACAAGCAACTCCAGACGGCGTGGCTGTACAAGCAGGACCTCTTTGTCAACCCCAGTCGCGCATCCTCATGGGCAGCCCTGGGCAAGCACTACGCACAAGAGCTCGAACAGCTGCTCGATGCCGCCTTGCCTTGGCAGCCCTGCCAGGATGCGCAGCTGCGGACCCGCGTGGCCAAGGTGCGTGCGATGCCCGTTCCCCTTGTCGCTCCTCTCTCCTCTCCTCTCCTCTCCAGCCGCTGCCACATGCGCTCTTCCCCCCCCCCGCCACACCCAAGAAAGCAAGCACCGCAATCCGCACACCATCAGCTCAGTCAGCAGTCCAACCTTAGTCCGTCTACGGCGTATCGGCGTATCGGCGTATCGGCGTGTGCGTGTGCGTGTGCGTGTGCGTGTGGCACACAGTACTTTGGCCGCGCGGAGCGGTGCTTGGAGCAGGCCGTGAAGCTGGAGCCCGAACGCACCGGCGCACTGGAATGCCTCGGTGAGTTGATCCTCAACGCTGTTCGCTTCCGCCGAGCCCTCCCCGCGTGGAGCGCCCACAAACGCGACTTTTGCCAACGCGCGCACTCGGCATATGAGCGCTTGCAGCGGCTCGGCCCCAGCTGGCGATACCTCTACTGGATGGCCAAGGTTCCTTCCTCCGCAACGTTGGCTGTCGTCCGGTTCTCTGGGGCGGACTACTCACCAGGCGGTGCCTGTGGACAGCTCGAGCGCAAGATGGGGGCGCCCGTCGGGAACTACCTGGCGCAGTTCAACGGGGCGCTGTGCCTGGTGCGCACCGAAAGCAAACGAGGCAATAACAAGTCGGAATGCCGGCAGCACGAGGCCGAAGTGCTCTACCAGCTCCATGGCTCCCGCCTCAAAGAGCTCTTTTCGCCGTCCCCCGATGTACGTACCTATCCCCCTCACGCAGCTGCAGACATTCTTCTGCTTTTGCTTCGCTTCTTCAGGCGGGCGCCCCACTGACGGCCGTGCTGCCCTACACACGCGACACACGCGACCGAACACACACGACACAACGCGACACACACACACTGAAGTACACGGCCATCGCCCAGTACATGTTTAGCGTAGCCCAGCAGCAGCAGTCAAAAGGCGCCAAGAAGGGAGGCAAAGCAGAGGAAGAAGGAGAGGCTGCAGACACCTCCGCCGAGGCAGCCCAGACCGGTCAAGAGCGACGCACGTTTCTCCTCCACGACGCCATGTCCGCTCTTGCTCGGCCACACCAAGTCTATGTCTACTTCCACAAATCCGTGTACCGCGTGCGTATCCCCTTACTCCACCCCACTCCCACTCCCACTCCCCACCCGCACCCCCACTCCCACTCCCCACCCGCACCCCAAACAAACTTCTGTCATCAACGGCATATCCGCATGCGCGGGATCTTGGACTCACTTCCTGATCTCTTCCCGTGCCGGCGCGCCCATGGGCGGTGGTGGGTGGGTGGGCTGCTTTTAGCTGGCGTGGGCGTTGCGCGAGAGCGGGCGTGTAGAGGAGGCCAAGGCCCTACTGGGATCCATCTTCAGCGACAAGAAGCTCTCCAAGCAGCTCATCCAGGTGTGTCCTGCTCCCAGCTCTCGCCTCGCAACAAAACCTAACACCACCACGTCACACGCACCCCACCCCCCAAATTCGCCAATCCGGATTGGTTGGTCTCGGCTCGGATCCAGGTGTGGCGCGTGGACCTGGACGGGCCTGGCAAATTCGAGGCCTACCGCCGCAAGTACCTCCTGCTCTTCAATGAGCTCCTCCGAGATACACGAGACGTCGACCGCTTGGAACTACTTGTGCTCAAACTCTTCAAGGACCCCATCCTCTCGCAACAACGCGATGTCCTCGTCGCCTCCTGCTCCTCCCTCGTCCAGGTTCGTCTTCTCTCTCCCTCACCGGACCCAGCCCGTGGTCAGTGATGTGGACGCTCGCACACGCACACCAACTCGTCCCGCCCTTTGCAGGCCCTCGCCGAGCGTATCCGAGAGAAGTGGTCTAGCCACGAAGACAATCCACAACCCCTACTTCCGCCGACCGCCACAACACCGATAGACCTCACATACGACTCCCCACCGTTATCGCTATCGCAGGGTACACTTATGACACATGACACACACGACACACACACGACACACTCGCGACACGCACGCGCGCCCCACACGATGCCCGAAGCCTTACGGATTGGCTTGGGGGGGGGGCAGACGAGGTGAAGACTTGGCTACGGCGCAGCTACGATGCCTACTTACACGCGCTGAGCGCCTTCGCTCGGCCAGGAGGCCTTCCGAGGGAGGAGGGCGCGGCGGACCAAGAGGCGGAACAGAAGCTTGGTGTCGATCGCATGCTGGTGCGTTCCTTCCAACTCTACCGGCTGGCCCATTCCCACACCATCCCCGGCGATGCCGATGGCTGGAGCGCGAGCCAGGTCGCTTCCTTTTGCCAGAAGGCCTTCAAGGTACCACCGCCACCGCACCTCCCGTCAGCGCCGTAATGCAGGGAGGTTGCTTCCTGCGCGGTGGGGCACAACAAACAAACAAACAACCACACAAACAAACAACCCACAACTCACCCACCCCGCCCGTCTAGACCCGCCCGCCAAGGAAAGTGGGCGCAGAGGACGAGGAAGCCCGGGACTACTCAAACAGGCAACGCGCCGACCCCTCTGACCACCAGCAGCACCAGAGGCAGGACTACCATCTCCTCGACGAGTCCCTCGACGTGTCCCAGGGACCTCCGCTTTTGGTGCCCCCCACTCCTGACCTCCCGCGCCCCGCCGACCTCCGCAAGAAGGCCGCACGCCGCCCCAAGCCCACCTTTCCCGACCTCCCGCCTCTTTCACCCTTCCGCGCGCCTCCCGCCGCCAGTTCGTCGACATCCGCGGCCACCACCGATTCGTGATCTGCTCGTCGCGGGCTGGTACAGAACAACAACAGCAATAACACTGGAGTGCGAAAACACGCTACTGCCCGTGCCAGTAGTAGTACTGGCTAATGGAGAGAATGAGGAGGCGCATCTGTGCCGCTGCATGATCTCTTCTGTTGCTCTGTAATGCTCGACGAGGCCTCTCGTACAGTGCCGTGCCGATCTTAATGGAGCTTCTTCTGCTGCTTGCGGGCTGTTGTGCGCGACGCGCTGCCGCCAGTGCGGGCAGGCGTGGCGGCCGGCTCGGCGAGAATGAGCAGGAGGGCGCCCATGAGAGACAGGTTCTTCAGGAAGTGCACCATGTGCGCCTGCTGCTCGCCTTGCTCCGTCTTCGCCCAGACTGCGCGCGAGAGAGAGAGAGATAAGGCGGAGAAGGTAGGAAGAGAGGAGCCACCATTGAGACCTCGCCTGGGGCCCCAGCATGCGCACATCCATGGTGGGAGGGGAGGCGTACAGTCGTGCATGGTAGGTGTGACGCCGGCAAGGAACACGAAGAGAAGCAAGGCCCCCAGCTTGCGCAGCACAGGCAAAAACACGCCCAGAACAAGCAGCGGTCCGCCCAGCAGCAGGGCAGATGAGGCCCAGTAGATCACCTCAGCCATCTCACGACCGACAGTGTGGCCGAGCAGCCTGCTCAGCGCGGCCTCGGTCTGTGGGATCATCGCCTCGGCACTGGCCGCATGATCTGCGCAGTTAAAAAAGGATTTAGGCTGTCGCTCTCCCCACCACGCACGCACACACATAGGGCCATTGCTAACGGCGCAGGTCTCTCGTACGTATGAGTGACGGGAGGAAGACGGCCACGAGCAGCAGAGTGCCGATAGCGCGCAGCACTTGCGACATGTCTCCGCGGTGGGCCTTTAGCTTTTCGTGGGGGTGTGGCGGAGGTGTGTCGACAATTCCCACAGCGGTGCTGGAATATTTCCCCTTTTGGAAGGCCCGGCCCGCCTGACGTCAGGCCTGCGCGCGAGCAAGCCCTTTGTTGTTTTCATCTCTCGCCTCGAGCAGACACTCACCCCCAGCCTCCGACGATGTCCACCCACGCCGTTATTGGTAAGCCCGCCCCCGACTTTGACGAGGAGGCCGTCCTCGGTCAGGACTTCACCCGCGTCAAGCTCTCCGACTTCAATGGTATGTAGAACATTCGCACACCAACAAGTTGATCGTTGCATTGGCTTACCGCGGCAAGGTGGGTGGAATCAGGCAAGTACTTGGTGCTTTTCTTCTACCCGCTCGACTTCACCTTCGTGTGCCCCACTGAGATCCTTGCCTTCAGCGACCGCGCGGACGAATTCCGCAAGATCAACACGTGCGTGTTAGCCGAGCCAAATTCTCCCTCATTGTGTGGCGCTTGTCTGGCGGTGACCGTTTCCGCTCACCCTCTGTTTATGTGTTGTTGTGTAATAACACCACAGCGAAGTGGTCGGCGTGTCCGTCGATTCCAAGTACTCGCATCTGGCCTGGATCAACACCCCGCGCAAGCAGGGTGGCCTCGGTGGCGCCCTTAAGATTCCTCTCGTGGCCGATCTTACCAAGAGCATTTCGCGCAAGTACAACGTTCTGATGGAAGAGGCCGGACACACCTACCGTGGTCTCTTCATTATCAATCCTAAGGGCGTGCTCGTTCAAGCCACCCTGAACGACGCTCCTGTCGGTCGCAGCGTCGACGAGACTCTTCGCCTCGTGCAGGCCTTCCAGTACGTTGACGAGCATGGCGAGGTCTGCCCTGTCAACTGGACGGTACCGTCGCCTCCCTCTCACTCATGCTGCTTTCTTCCACTCACCGCACCCCGTGGTGGTGGTGTTTGCGTGCGTGCGTGCAGCCTGGCTCGGCCACCATGAAGGCCGACCCCAAGGAGTCGCTCGCCTACTTCGAGAAGGTCAACCAGTAGAGAGGCAGTCTCTCGCGTAGCGGCAAAAAGAAAAAGAAAAATAAAGGTGCCGGCACTTTTTCGTCCGCAGCCCTTTTCCCTTTTCCATTTTCTTGTTCCCCCAGATGCAGAAGGATGACGATGTGAAGGCGCTGATGGGCGTGCTACCCCCTGAGCTCGGGTTCCAAGTACTAGAGCTGGTGGTGGGTCAGGGAAGCGACCTCAGTTGGGCGCTTGGAGGCCAGGGCGGAGGGATGCGTCGTGGCATTAAGCTGTGGCCTCCTGCTGGGGACACTTCGAAGCACGGCGAAATCAATGATTCCTTGCTGCTGAGCGAAAAGGACGTTCGTGATATAGATGTGGAAGGACCAGGCTACGCGATTAAAGAGGGCTTGCTGGGCGACTCTGCCTTGCGATTGCTACGCGACGAGGTTGGTAAGATCTTCGAGGACGGCCATCTGCAGCCTGCAGCCATGGTCTCCCAGGACCAGCGCCGCTGGGCTGTTCCTGGTGCCCGTGGTACCTCTAAGCTCTCTTGCCCGTGGCCATGTGCCAAGTGCGCTAACAGTTTGCCCCCACAACTGCAGGAGACCTGCAGATGTGGCTAGACATGGCGAGCCTTGACGAAGCGGGGCACTCGTGGTGGGCTAATTGGCCACACCTGCGCGCGGCCTGCAGGCGACTGCGGCAGGTGCAGCAAGAACTGAGCAGAGCGTGGGGATTGGGCCAAGGGCGTCTGCAAGCCCAGCTAGCGTGCTATCCCGGTGGCGGCGCACGGTGCACTTCCTGCTGCACTCTCTTCAGTGTAACATCAAGTGCTCATCACATCTTCTTGCCTTGCCAGGTATGTGCGTCACTTGGACGCCCAACCCATCAACAGCAACGCAAGTGACCAGCGCCGCCTCACACTACTGTACTACATTAACCCCAGTTGGGTGACGTCAGATGGAGGTTGTCTTCGCCTGTACCCACACCACCAGGAAGACAGCCAAACAGAGATGTTTGTTGATGTGGCACCACTGGGTGATCGTCTGCTAATCTTCCAGAGCAGGACAGTTGAGCATGAAGTGCTCCCCTCACACACAGTGCGCTTCTCCCTCACATTTTGGCTTTATTGAGTTGAATGAAGAACATTGTGTGCACCACTTGGTAGCCACTCAGAGTAACTTGCAGTCCCCTTTCTCTTGAGACCATTTGGGCCCTGCCGTAAGAGGGAATCATTTCAAATGGTCAGCAAGCACATCAGGGGTCTCCTACTGGGCCAGCCACTTCTTTTTCAGGACCTTTGGGTCCACTTCAGGACCACACAGACACCAAACAGAGGACCATTTTCAGGACCATTTTGGGGGAATTTTGGGACTATTTTCAGGACCATGTTGTGACAATTTTAGCACAATCTTGGGACCATTTTGGTACTATTTTTGGACCACATTGGGACTTGTATGGGACTATTTTGGACCATTTTCAGGACAATTTTGGAACTTGTTTGAGACTTGTTTGGGACTATTTTCAGGACCATTTTGGGGGAATTTTGGGACTATTTTCAGGACCATGTTGTGACAATTTAAGCAGAATTTTGGGACCATTTTGGTACTTTTTTTAGGCCATGTTGCGACAATTTTGGGACCATTTTCAGGACATTTTGCGACCATATTGGGACATTTTTCAGGACCTTCTTCCGCATGCAGCACACCACACTGCTCATAACTCTGGTCCATCCACCACACAAGTTGCTGCCTGAGAGTACGGCCTTCTGCAGTTGTCGCAGCCAGCGACTCTTCTCCTCTGCCAATTTCAAAGCGCACCAGTCTGCACACTTGCCTTATAGCTGGTAGCCTGCAGAGATGCGTCAAGCGTAGCACGCGTTAAACGTGTTGACCGTGCATGGGTCGCGCGTAAGTCGCTTGTAAGCTACGCGTCGCCAGCGCGTGGGCTACGCAGGGACGACAAGTGAAAATGCAGTTTTAAGCAACTCCAAAATCTTTTATAATTTTTTGGAATCGAAATTAGACAACGCTGGGGTAGGCAGCTTTACTTGACGCTGCTGCAGCGCAGCGATGTGGATCCCGTGACAGAAGATCGCACAACACCGCAGCTCGTGAGCGCCCAAGGTGCGTTCAGTGCCGCACCACACCGCAGCACCGCAGCAGCGCCTTGTAGAGATACGCCCACAAACGAAGGAATCGAACTGAGGGGATGCAACGAAGTTTTACGAGTGGACAAGGACGACTAAACGTGTGAGCTCCGCAATGGGTTGTCACACCATCCTCACACTGCTCTCCCCCTGAGGCGCATCGCCTGACGAGCCTTAGGCACCACTCCTACCCTGAGAGCCCCTCAAGAAGCCCAATCTAATCCGAATCTTAATCTTAGGGGATGCAACGAAAACGCGTGACACTCGTTTCACTCGTTTAACAAGTAAACACTGATTCAACTCGTTTAACGACCTGCCCACTCGTGAAACGAGTGGAGAATGTGTGAAACGAGTAGAGAACGCTTGAAACGAGTGGCAAACGCGTGAAACGAGTAGAGAACGAGTGAAACGAGTAAAAACCGCGTGGAACGAGTAAAACGAGTTAAAGGAGTAAAAAAACGCGTAAAAAACGAGTAGAATGACCACCAACCACCTGTGGCAACACTGATTAGACGCATTAAACTAGTTAAACGCGTTTAACGAGTGTTACTCGTTTTCGTTGCATCCCCTTAACCGTAATCAAATCTTGAAGCAACGTGAATGCATCTTTGTTCTGACCTGACAGACTCCCCGGCCGCGGTGATCGCGGGCTCCGCGGAGTTCCGCGATGATCGCAATAATCGCGATAGTCATCTTGTAGCCCGCGGTCCAATTGGTCTGGAAACTTATTGCCAGGCCGCTAGCTATCAAGGCAAGCGAGAAAAACAGTGTTCTCAGTTGCGTGATTGTGACGCGGAAGGCGTGTGCTAGCGGCACAATGATGCATCCTACAGGGCTGAATTCTATCACATCTTGAAGCCCGGTCTCTGCGGCGCATTTCGGAGCTATTGTGAGGGCTAGAGCTTACCAGGCAAGCGAGAAAACGAGTGATGTTTGTTGTGGGGTGTAGGACTCTAGCGGCCCAATGAGGCATCCTACGGGGCTGAGACCTATCACATAGTGAAGCCCATGCGCTGTCGCGCAGTTTGAACAAAATGGGAGGTCAAGAGCTTACAGAGCAAGCGAGAAAACGACTGATCTTGCCAGTGTGGTGACAGCCGCAAATATTATTTGCTAAGTCAAAACTCCGCCCGCTTGGTCGCCTGCGCCCAAATTCCAAGTCAAAACTCCGCCCGCGGACTGGGTCAAAAAGTCAGTCATTGTTTTTTATTTATCCTTCTCTCCGTTTGTGTCAGTCCTCGGCTAAGTACTCCTGGTCAGCCTCCTCGTCCTCGGCTTCGCTCGCAAGCTCATCTCCCTCGTGCTCTTCCTCGTGCTCCTCTTCCTCTTGTTGCTCTTCCACTATGGTCGTTTCTTCCTCGCCAGCTCGCCGTTCAAAGTTGCTCAGCGCCTTTCTCGCAACTGCCTGCTTCCTGGCCTGCAACTGCTCTTGCAGCTGTCGCACCTCGGCTTTGAGTTTCTCCACTTCCAGCTGTTTCCTCTTCTCCGCTCGCAGGGTCCGTGAGTTGTCGGCTTCCGCATCCCCCAAACGCTTGGGAGAAGCGGACGGGGAGGCCGGGGAGTCAGGCGTCTCTTCGAACGCCTTGGGAAGGTATTTCTCGCACTTTCTGTAGTTGGTCGTGGTCAGTCATTCATTCGTAGGGAGGAAGAAAAAGGCCGTACTCGGCATCGGGTAGCTCCTGGAACAGCAACTGGATGACGGGCGAAGCGTAGCCAAACATCTCCGGTCCAGAGACAGAAACAGAAGGCTTCTTCTTGATCGCTTTGAGTGCCTGCAATAATAATGGGTGGGTGAGCCACACAGACAAGTCGAAGGAGGAGATTCGGGGGGGGGGTCGTAGGCTAGGTAGGAAACCTGCGTCCAGACGCCAGAGGAGGTGGAATGTTCGAACACCAGGTCTGGTCGGTCCTCGGGCGTCACACGGAAGGTAGGTGCATCATCACCGGTATCGACTATCTCCGACGTGTACGTGGTGTATTCTTCTGGATTGGAAATGGAGGGAAGGCGCCTGGAACACACACACACACACACACAACACACACGGTATCCTTTAGCCCGCGTGGACAAGCCACTCAAGGACACGTGGCGTATGTCTGTCAAACACCAACAGCCATCCCCCCCCCAGCCACCCACCACCGCACGTACTTGGTGCTCTTGAAGCCGGTGGGCCACAAGTACTGCTTGGAATGGAAGAGAGGACGATCCCACACTATCTCCCCGAGGTCGAGGATGGTGGTCCCCTTGACCGTGATCGGCAACACCGGATTGCCCGCCTCGTCCCTCGCCACGGGCCTGCGCGCGCAGTGAGCGAGAGGCGCGGAGAGTAAGAGGGAATGCGCACAGCAGCAGCAGCAGCAGCGAGGCTGGCGAGCCAGTCATACCGCACGGGAATGGGCCGGGCAGACGCAGACCCGAGCTTGCTCCGCTTCCGACTGGGTGTGCCGATATGGGCGACGTCTTCCTCGAGGGCTCCTTCTTCGCTTTCCTCCTCCGCTTCTCCCTCTTCCTCGGGCCGAGTCCGCTTCCGTCGCGGGCGAGACTCGGCGGTGGCGTCCGGCTCGAGCACCACATGACAGTAATAGCGCAACCTGCGTGTGGCGTGGTGTGGCGTGGTGTGGCGTGTGGGTCTCATCGTGGTGAGACCTTTGTTCGTTTGTTTGAGAACTCCAGGCGCGGTGGCCATTTGGAGCTCAGGGGTGGGAGGTGGGGGTGTGCCTGTTGAGGAGGGGAGATTTGTCCTCGACGAATTCGCGCAGGAAGAGCTCGCGCTGCTTCCGAGGGACGGGGCGGCCGTTCTTGGGCGTTTTGGTGTAGAAGACGCAGCCAGGGTCGTTGAGGAGTTCGTCCCACGTCCTCCCCGAGTTGCCGATTCCGCATTCATCCACGGCGTGCAGGAGGGCCACGTCGTGTTCGCCTGGATACCACCACTGCGGCATCTTGCCTCGTGTCACCGCTCCCATCCGTTGCCTGAGGTCGGCACGCGAGAGCAGCTTATGCCTGTAGTCGAGGATATCGCCATACGTCAATCAGCATTCCGTGCCGCAGTCCTCCACCACCACCACCCAGCCACCACCCACCACTCAGCCGCGGAAAGGGAGAGGTCACTCGAGTGAAACGAGGTCGGTTGGCTGGTTGTGGTTGGGAGCGAGGAACGTACCTCAACTCCTCCCATAGCGAGACCCGATCCAGGAGGCGATGGGCTATGATGGGGGAGAGCAAATAGGGGTTCTCCAGCGAAGTGACAGATGACGACGACGACGACGACGTGGTCGAGGCTTCGAAATCATCCGCCTCGTCGTCGTCGGCCTCGGACTCTGCCGGCTCGTCGTCTTCGTCCTCGCCGCCGTCGTCTGATCGCTCCTCGCCACCCACGTGGGTGGGAGCCACGTGGCCTTCGAGGTCTTCATGCTGCTGCAAGAGCGAACGAGAAGCGGATCGGGTGGATCTCTTGCCAGCTTTGGCCAGCCCGACGTAGGGGTTCGGGTACTCCTCGCACATCTTCCTGACGTAGGCCATGAGTTCGTCGTAGTAGTCCTCGCACGCTTCGTCGTCTTTGTTGACCAGCCGCGCCTTATCGATGATAAACTCCCACCTCCCTGTTGGTTGGTGGGTTGGTGGGTTGGTGGGTTGGTGGGTTGGTGGGGTTGGTGGGGTTTGGTGGGGTTTGGTGGGTTGGTGGGTTGGTGGGTTGGTGGGTTGGTGGGTTGGTGGGTTGGTGGGTTGGTGGGTTGGTGGGTTGGTGGGTTGGTGGGTTGGTGGGTTGGTGGGTTGGTGGGTTGGTGGGTTGGTGGGTTGGTGGGTGAGTGGGGGTTGGTTGTGGGTGGGTGGAGGTTGGTAAGTGTGTTAGGGAGGGGGAGAGGTGGTCGCTGGAGTCGGCGTACGTACCAGGTCCGTAGGCCATGAGGGCGACGCGGAAGTCGCCGCGTTCACGCTTGCTCCAGAGTCCCCTTCTCTCCTCGAGGCGTTGGCGCTTGACGGCCTGTCGCTGGTGGCGCTGCTGGAGGCGCTGTTCTCGCTCGTCCTCGCGCATGCGCTTGCGGTCTTCCTTGCTTTTGATTTTCTCCTGCCGCTGCCGCTCTCTCGCCTCGATGCGCAGCACCTTGTCGATGGTGTCCAAGAGGGCCTTCACACGCAGATTCAACACCCTTTTGGCCGGCCACTTGCTTGATGGAGTCTTGCCGTCGCTCCCGCCCTCCTCCTCCTCCTCCTCGTGGTCGCCGTCATGAGGCTCGTCGTCTTCGTCCTCCTCCTCTTCTTCGATGGCGAGTGCAAACTCCTCCTCCTCCTCCTCGTACTCGTCGTGGTCTCGCGCGGGCTCCTTGCCTTTGGCGCGCCCGCCCTTGTTGCTGGTCTTGCCCACCCGCGAGGCTCTGCTGCTGGCCATCGTCGTGGCTGTCTCTTCGCCGCCGCCGTCCGCAAGATTGGCCAGAGAGCGGTGGTGCCTGTAGAAACACAAGGCTTCGTCTGCGAAGAGGGCCTCGAATGAGCCCAACCCGTGCACGTAGCTTCCCACCAGGAGGTCCCTGTCCTCCTGCGCAATCGACGCACGACGCACGACACACGACACGACACACACGGCGGATATCAACACGTCGTTGCTGGTCGAGACCAAGGACTGGGATTGAGGAGGGGGGGGAAGGCCTCGTACCTCCCGACCCCACCAGGGGACCGGCCGCTGATTCTTCTTTTCGGTGAAGGTAGCCGGCAGGCGGAACTGGTCAGGCGCATCGAACTTCTCCACCTCCGTGCGAAGCCGGTTCAGGATCACGAGTCGCTTGGCCCAGCCCTGTGTGTGTGTGTGTGTGTGTGTGTGTGTGTGTAGGTGTGTGAGCTTAGCTTCGCTTTCGTTCCACGCACTAGAGTGAAGGGGGAGGAGGCTCGAGTAGGACATGCCCGCATGCCTGCGGGAGGGAAATAGGTACCTTGATCTTTCGGCGCACATTGGCCAGGTAGGCGGGATCGACGAGGGAAGGGAACGAAGCCGTGGGTTTGGAACCAGAACCAGCCGACGACCTGCCAGCGCCCATGCGCCTGCTGCGCGTGGCCGGTGACTCGTCCAGGGAGGCAGTACTAGCAGGTGATGCCTTGGGGGCGACATCAGGCGGGTTCTCCTCGCCATATCTGGGGTAATAAAACACATGACACACGACGACGTAAGTGCTTGGCAGTCAACACACCCGTGGGTAGCCACGTTTGGGGTGCGGGCTGGGGGGGAGGGGGAGGGCAGAGAAGAGAGAGGCGGGCCGGGTGGGTGGGTACTTGGGGCCTTGCGTCTGCATGAAAAGGATCAGCTCCTGGAAGATGTCGTGGTCCTCGCCCTTGGCCGCATCGGCGCACACGCGTAAGAACGCTAACGCGTAGGAGCGGATATCGCCAAGCGGTCTGCATGCGCCAAGCAAGGAGCCAAAGGCGAAGAAGGAAATGGCTGGCGTGTCAACATACGACACACGACACACACGGGCGCGGGTGCTGCCGAATCCCATAGGCACGTGCGGAGCAGAGGGTGATGCACCAAGCAGGACAGGGGGAGGGGCGTGCCTCTTGTGGAGCTTGGTTTTGGCTTTGATGGCAGTCCAGTGGGGACGCGCAAACGCCAACACGGCCTCTTGGATCCTCTTCCTCTCCGACATGTTGAAGTCGGGTATCTCACCGAGCTTCCTGCGCTTGGGGTCGTCGGCTTGCTTGCCAGCGTTGCGAGCGCTCCTTCTGCGACCTTCGTCGCTCATGGCAGCGGCACCGCTGAGGCGTCTCTTCACTCCTCTTCCGCCTGTGTCGTCGCTTCCATAGGCCTCATCGGTCTGGCACATCATCCGCCGTGAAAACCAAAACCAAACCAAACCAAACCGGTGGGTGGCAGAGCAGTTGGAGAGGAAAGAAGAGGTGGTACCCTGCTCAGGCTGGGCATTTCCCATTCGTCTTCGGCGCCACGCCCTCGTCTTTTGCGTGGGCGATTGAGTTGGGCGGCCCACAGAGCTGCTTGGTCGAGCTGCTCGTCGGTGAAGCTCACCCCGGCTCGGCCCTGCGTGTCGTTCGTTCGTAGCAAGACCAAAGGAGTAAGTGTCGCACACCGCACTCATCCAGCAGCCAGCCGCTACCCAGTCGCTTACCTCGAGAATTTCGTCCATGATCGCGTTGAGGAAATGGAGATCGCGTGGGGGACTGATCGTCTTCTTCCACTGTTCGAGGGACTCCTGCACCACGCCGGTCAAGTCCTCCCAAAACTCGTCCACCTTGGCCTCGGTGTCGCCGACCTTGCCCTCACGCAGGCGCTCCAGCAAGCGCCCAGCGTTTTTGGCCTCTGTCCCCAGCACACACGCGGAGTGAGGCGAGTGAAAATGGGCGGAGCAGAGACGCTGGTGGTGGTGGTGGTGGCGGCGGCGGCGGCGGCGGCTGGTGGTGGCTGGTGGTACCCGGCAGCACGAGCTCCCAGAAGTTTTCGGCGTTGATATCGATGTCGGTGTCGGCGTGAGAAGAGGAAAAGAAGGCCTTGGAGAAGGTGGAACCCTTCTTGTCCTTGGCGCCTGCCGCTCCTTCGGCATCGCCACTGGTGTTGTTCTCCTCGGCGCGCTCATATCGTACGACGGTTGATGCTCGCTCCAGAATTTTGTCGATGTCGTCCTCCCCAAAGATATCGTTGCCCCCTTTGCCTTCCTCGTCCTCGCGAAAGAGGTCATAGGCGCCGTACTTGAGCAGGTCATTGATCTCCTTGCCCACCTACACACGCCGGAAACCAACACCGGGACAAAGCGAGCAAAGGAGAAGGAGAAGGAGAGTATGTAAGAGAACAGACAAAAATAGCACAAATAAAACAATACAATCAGTTGGAGGGAGAAAGGCTACGGTCAACCAACCTGAGCTAGCGTCTCCTTCTTGGTTTTGGTGTTGGCGATGTCGGTAATGTTGATGTTATCGAGAACGGCTTGGTCGAGGCCGAGCTTCTTGGATGTACGCTCAAACATCTGCCGTTCATAGGTCTTGCTCGTAATCAACCGGTAGACCTTGACTTCCTTTGTTTGGCCGATTCTGGTCCACAGACGGATGTTGATTGAGCCACAGCACAGCACAGCACAGCACAGCACAGCACAGCACAGCACATGTGTACACCGCAGTGATAGAAACCCCAATCTTACCGATGACACCGCGCTTGAGCTTGAAGATCGTTTTGCGGATTCCAATCACTGTCGTAGATCACCACCGTGTCGGCAGAGGCCAGGTTGATGCCCACGCCGCCTGCCCTCGTGCACAGCAGGAACACGAACCTGCGTTTGCCTCCCCCTCCGGGGGGGGGCTGATCAGCAACGACCGACGATGCTGTGGGTTGTGTTGGTTGTCATGATCCGGAAAAGGAAGGAAGACCTGTTGCTGCCCGGCTTGGAGAAGCGGTCAATGGAAGCTTGGCGGTCGTTCCCGCGCACGTTACCGTCGAGCCGTTCGTAGAGGTGGCCACGGAACCGCAGGTAGGACTCGAGGAGATCTAGCACGCGGACCATCTGGGAGAATATGAGGACCTTGCTGCCTCTGGCTTTCAGCTTCGGCAACAGCTTATCGAGCAGCGCCAGCTTGCCGGCGCTCTGGATGAAGAGGTTATAGTAGGCCGCGGCCTCGAGCTTCGCCGTTTCCTTTTCCTCCACGCCCTGGCGATCCACCGTCATCGTGCCACCATGGATGGCGTGTATCCAACGTGAAGCCCAACGCGCACGCCCCCACATACAAACGGAGAGAGAGAGAGAGATTAGAGAACGACTACACGACACGGCACACACGCACTGGAACGGAGGCGAAGAGAGAGGGAGGTTCATGTTGGCCGCACCTGGATGAGGAAGGGATGGTTGCACACCTTGCGCAGCTGCATGACTACGTTGATGAGGTTGGGCACGTTTCCGCCGGAGCAGCCCTTGTTGAGGAACTCTCGGTTGCGCTCCAAAATGGCGCTGCGATCATCACGTGACGAGGCAGGCAGGCAGCGCATAGGTGCACTCAGAACTGGGCGGGGCAACTAAGGAGTGGGGGGAGGAGGGGTGGTGGTGGCTGGTGTTGGTACCGGTAATACTTCTTCTGGAGGGAGGTGAGCTCCACCTCGACCAGCACCTCTTCCTTGGGCGGGATGGAGCTCTCGACGTCTTCCTTGAGGCGGCGGAGGAGGTGAGGGCGCAGGACTGTGTGAAGGTGCCCGACCTGCTCCGCATCCTTAAGATCGCCAAAGTTTTGCAGGAAGCTGGGTAGCGAAGTGAAGATGTGCGGCTCGATGAAGTTGAGGAGGGTCCAGAGCTCTTCGGTGTTGTTCTGCAGCGGCGTCCCGGTGAGGATTATGCGGTGATCTGTCTTGAAGAGCTTGAGCCGCTCGAGCAGCTTCGACCTCTTGTTCTTCAGGCGATGCGCCTCGTCGATAATCAACGCTTTCCAGTTGATCTTACTCAGCTCCGCCCAGTCCGTGCGCAGAATCATCTCGTAGGTCGTAAGCAGGACGTTGAATTTGAATTGGCCGGGGGCTCTCTTCTGCCCTTGCCCCTGGTAATACCACTCGTACTCACGAATGACAGTCCGGTTGGCCGCGTTACCCTGTGCGTGCGTGCGTGCGTGCGTGCGTGCGTGCGTGCGTGCGTGCGGTCCCTGGCGATGAGTTGAAAGGGGGGGAGGGGAAGAAGGGAGAGGGAGACACAGCACCGACCTGGTAGATTATACCGTTCATCTCCGTCCAGCCTTCAAGTTCACGAATCCAATGGGGAAGCGTAGACAACGGACACACGATCAAGAACGGCCCATGGATGTACTGATTACGGTGCAGATACTCCAGGAAGGTGATGCTCTGTGGAACAGTCGTTGCGAGATCGCACGTGTGAGAGAGACCACAACACACACACACACACACACAACGACACACTAGCCTTTACGCATCACCCTCGCCTCGCAGGTGGCGCGCTGCTTAGACGGGTCCTAGGGCGTACCTGAACAGTCTTGCCCAAGCCCATTTCGTCCGCAAGAATCGAGCCTCGCCGGTTATACCAGCAGTACACGAGCCAATTGAGCCCTTCCTGCGCGGAGACACAGTATTCGGCGGCGGCGGTCATGTGCAAATTCGAACATTCAGCAGCAGCATACGACGAATAAAAGTGTAAGAAAACGGGGGAGGGGACATCGGGAAGAGAGAGAGAGAGAGAGAGCTCGCGTCGTACCAGCTGGTACTTGCGTAGCTTGTTGTCGTTCTTGAAGGTGGGGTCGTTGAGGGGCGCCCACTGACTGATGGGTCTGCCGCTGGTGTTGGTGTGCGCGGGCGGGGTATTCCATTTGTGGAACTGAGCAATCTTTTCGTCATCCTATGGGAGGAATTGCACCCGTCGTGGTCGAGCGGAGTGTGGCGTGGCGGGCGAGAACGTGAGTGGGACAAAAAAACCAAAAAACCAAAAAACCAAAAAAAAACAACAACAACAACAACCGGGAGGAGGGGTGCCAGGGTGATGCGGTGGTGAGTTTGGCCAAGGTACCTTGAGGTCCGCTGCTGACTCCCACGTGCAGTCGGTGTAGGGCAGATCGCACCACTTCACCAAATACCGTCTCACCACACGTTCACCGGGGCCAGGGGTGAGCTTCTCCGGCTTGACGCGGTGCGAGGCAGCCGGCTGCGTCGGTACGGCCGTGGCGGCGGAAGTTCCCGGAAGCGTGAGCGCCTGGGCACAAAATGCACGAGCGCGCTGTTAGTCCGTCCGATCTCGCGGGATCCCCTGTGCTCCTTAGGGTTTGGATCTGTCGTGGTGGGGTGGTGGGGTGGTGCATGATGATGCTGATGATGATGCTGGTGATGATGGTGTCGTACCGGGTGGGCCGGCGGGGCTGTGGAGCGCTGAACCATCTCTCCACGCCAGGCTTGCAGCTGGTGCCAGAGTTGCGCATTGTGAGTGGGGGGCAGCTGCGGCGGAGCAGGTACAGCCACGACGGGAGGCTGCAGGGCCGCTGGCGGATAGCCCTGATGAGGATAGGGCATCTGGGATCTGCTGCTCGATTGCCCGGTATACTGCTGTGTGTGTGCCCGGAGAGACAAACCGAAATGTGGCACTCACGCGTCAAGTGCTGTGATAACGGAGAGGAGGGGAGGGACGCGGATGGGGTTGTGGAGGAATGGAAGGAATGGAAGGAAGGAAGGAAGGGTAATAAACGAACCTGGTGCGGATAGGCAGACGGCGCCAGTGGCGAGTGGCCACCCAGTCCCGCGCTGTGAGGCTGGTTGGCCGGGTAGTGCTGCGCCGAACTGTAGGGGCTATAGGGCGGTGCCGACACTCTGGCCTGCTGTGGCTGCTGCTGAGGCGGCACAAAGGGCGGCGGTAGACCGGCACCAGTTTGCTGTGGGTAGTACGGGTGGGCCGCCTGGGAGATACGAGCGGGGTGTGAGTTTGGCTTCATGACGGAGCGGCAAAAGAAACGGCCGCAGAGAGGCCGCGGGCGCCAGCGAAAGAAGCTGGTGCGGGAGGGGGGGGGATGGGAGCTGCAGCTTCTTACCTGGGAAGGTGCAACGGAGGAGGGCGCGATGCCAGGGAGGTGCGCAGGCCTCGGCCCAACAGTGACTGAAGGGGCAGGGGTGCTGGTGCTGGGCAGCGCTGGGGCGTGCTGGGCAGTGAGGAGATGAGCAGACGGGTGAGCGAGCGGTACGACTGCCGAGGGGTGCGTCGCTGGTCCAGCAGCAGCAGCAGCAGAAGCGGCCGCCAGATGTGACGCGGGGGCGTGCTGGGGTGAGGGTGCTGCCCCCTCGCCTGCTGTTTCCGCTTTCACGGCGGCGGACACAGGAGGCATGTCTTGGGGCGGGATCGGTTCGATGAGTTCTTCGTAGGCGATGATGCGGTCGATTTCGCAGTAGGCCGGAGGAAACGGGGGCTCCTCCTCCTCTTCCATCCCGCCGGCGCCCCGGGGCAGAGCCAGTGCGTCGAGGGCCATCTCCTGCTTCTTCTTGTGGTAGCGGTTGATCTTGCCTCGCCCCACGGTCCCTTCCCGCTCGATCACGTCGGCGGTGACCCACTCGCAGTGCAGGTAGGACTTCTCCTTCCACTTGACGTAGTACTCCGTGACCGGTTCGGCCGCCACTTGGTCGGTCTTGGCCCCCTCCTCCTCCTGCTGCTGCTGCTGCTCCTGCGCCGCTGCCGCGTCGGTCTCTCCCTTCTCTTCTTGCTCCGCTTCTTCAACGCTGCTGCTGCTGCCGCCGCCCTTTTTGACCGCGCGCTCTTGTGTCACCCGATGCGCCAGGATCTTGTCGACGATAGGGCCTGCGGCTCCCTCGGGCTCCGATGAACCTCCGTCGTCGTTACCGTGCTGCTGCTGGTGGCCGTCGCCGTTGGTCGTTCTCCTGCTGGCCTTCCTCGAGCCACCCTCCAGGTCCTCCTCCTCCTCCTCCTCCTCCTCTCCCTCCTCTTCGCCGTAGTACCGCTTCCCACTTTTGGCGCTCAGCCGCGCACTCGATCGCCGGCGGCCCGCCGAGGTGTCCATGTAGGAGGCGTCCTCTAGATCTTCGTCCTCCTCGTTTCGTCGTGTCTCCGCGCCTTCCCTTCCGCGTCGCACTGGCGTCGATCGCTCTTTCCTCTCACCGCTCCCTTCGGCCTTGGTCGCGAGGCCCTCGTGTTCGATCACGCCCAACTGCTTCGCCAGTCGATGCGTCGTCTTGCGGAGCAGCGTGGCCCACTCACTGATGGGGTCATCAGGCGGGTTGTAGAGCAAGCAGTTGCTCCACACCAGCTCCAGGTCGTCCAGGAACTCGGACACCTTGGCGTACTGTCCCGAAGTCAGCTTGTCCCCAATCGTGCCCAAGTCCATCGGCCTCTTCACCACCTCCCAGTAGTCCGGCAGGTCTAGCGCCACCGGGTCCACGGGCTGATTGAACGGCCATGCGTGCTACGCTCACACGACGCACACACGCACACACAAACACACACGACCACACGCACAACATCGACAACAATAACAACAACGGCACACACAGCAGGTCATAAGCCACACATGCAAACGCGTTGTCTCCAAGAGCAATCGCGAGTTGCGCGCCCTCGGTTTGGGGCGCCGTACCTTGTGGCGCTTCAACCGAGAAAGAAGGGCCTGGCACTGGCCCAGTTTGAGGTCCATGGCCACATCACCACTAGAGTACGTAGGCACAGTGGTTTCGAGGGACGGCTCCCTTTCCCAGTGACCCTCACTGCGCAAGGGCTTGCGTATCCTCTGCAATCTGCGCTCTTCCTACACAGTCGCAGTCGCGCCATTAGTTTACAAGAAATTTGTTGTAGAGGGGAATTGCCTCCTCCCCCCCCAACCAAAACCAATTTGTAACAAACCCAAAAGGGAGGCAAGCACATAGCGAGCTATGAAAGGGCAAAATTCCAATTGGAATCTTTCTTAAGCAATGGGCGCGTACCCCCTGTTCGCCGGTCGGCGCGCCATTGCTGGCCTCGTTGGGGGTGTGACCCTCCATGGAGGTGGTTTGGGTTGCCAAAAAAACAGCCCAAAGATTTATGGGAGCTGAGGCAGGCCTGCTACAGCGGATGAAAATCACAATCTGCTTCGGCAACCGCCTGTCAGGCCTCGGTGTAAGTCCGCTGGACAAAAGGAAATAGTTGGAGAAAAAATTACCCGCAAAAATTGACGCCGCTCCCGAAAAACAAATCCACACCACAACTACCGGACGAGGTCGCGATGGATCCCAGCACCTCTGGCGGGGGAAAGGACATCACTTCGCCCCCTTCTGCTACTGCTGCTGCGAGTGCGGAGGCTCATACGCAGATCCGCAAGAAGAAGGCACCCGGCCTCGCCTCCACAAACAAGCGCAAGCGAACGGCGGAGGTCGCCGACAGCAGCGCCAAGGGGGGGATCGAAACCAATCTGAAACGGCCACGCACCCCCGAAGCCCGCGCCTCTTCGAAGCAACAGACTGTCGGGAAGGAAGAAGGAGCTGATGTGAATGATGACCCGGCCGCGCTGGTCGAGCTGCTGCGGACCCAAGCACTGGGAACGGAAGGGGCCAGGCGTGCTCAGTGGCTCCAGCGGAGGGAGCGCAAACTGCGAGTCCTCTCCCATCTCGAGCACGGGGAGTCCCTCTTGGCCTTTCTTCTTCAGGCCCACCACCCTGCTGCTGCTGCTGCGCAACCACCACCCTCCACCGCGTGCGACCCGCCACCACCGCCACTTTGGCCACCGACCACAGCAGCCCACGCGTCCCCCGCCGCCCCACCGTGCTCCGCCTCTTCACCGCCGCCGCCGCCCCGTGGTGGCGAGGTCGCGGACTCGCACTTGGTGCTGCAGGGCGGCCACGAGGCTGGCGCGAGGCGAGTGGAGGAGGAGGAGGAGGAGGAGACTATGCCGCCGCTGAGGGGACTCGCGCTGCCGAGCACCGCCGCCGCCGCCGTCGCCGTCACCATCGGAGCTGCTGCTGCTGCTGGCGGGGGCGGGGGCATCAGGGCCGAGGAGGCGGGGGCGGGGGCGAAGGGGCGTGCGGAGTGGGAGGCGTGGGTGCAGGGGCGGGTGGGTGCGCTGCAGCGAGAGGGGCTGTGGAGCGGGCGGCGCGCGGGCAAGGTGCCGGAGCCCCCGCGCGGCAAGACGCACTGGGACTACGTGCTCGAGGAGATGGCGTGGATGGCCCACGACTTTGCCGAGGAGCGCCGCTTCAAAATGGCGCTCGCCCGCCGCGTCTCCAAGGAGGTGCTGCGCTATCACCAGGCCCGCCGCACCCGCGAGGAACGCGAGTCGCGCAAGGAGGAGCAGCGCCTCCGCCGACAGGCCACCACGATCGCTCGCGAGGTGGTGGCCTTCTGGCACTCGGTCGAGAAGCTCGTCCGCCACAAGCACCAGACCCGCCTCGAACAGCGCAAGCGCGAGGCCCTCGACAAGCACCTGGACTTCCTCGTCGGCCAGACCGAGCGCTACTCCACCATGCTCGCCGAGGAGCTCGCCACCCCCAGCATCACGCTGCCATCTGCCACCACCGCCGCCACCACTCACCGCGATGGCGGTGCCGATGGCCTCGCCTCGTCGTCGTCGTCATCGATCGGTGCTTTTTGCCCTCCTCACCGCCATCGCCATCCCGCGCATCTCACCCGCGATGAGTGGACCCACACTCACTCTGAAGACGGGACCTCGCGTGTGTGTCGCGTGTGTGTGTCGTGTGTGTCGCGTAGGCCTGCCCGAAGCGCCGCTCAGACTCGAGCCCCGGATGGCGTACGAAAGTGCCTCGCTCCCGCGTGCAGAAGAGAGTGTGGGTGTGGACGGCGATGATGGCGAGTACCTCCTCGAGCGCGACCAAGCCGCATTGCAGGTGCAGGCCGACGACGAAGCCACCCTGGAGCAGGAAGAGGCCCAGCAGCACGAGGAGGGGAGCATCAATGCGACCACTGCCCAACAAGGTAAGCCCTCCTTCCCCTTCCCTTCCCCTTCCCCCCCCCTCCCGTCCTGCTCCTGTTCGATCGGATGCATCAGGCCTGCCTCTGGTACCCGGCCCACCCTTCGAAGAATCCCTCACTGCGCCACCGACACGACACGACACGACACGACACGACACGACACGACACGACACGACACGACACGACACGACACGACACAGAAATCGATTCACTCAGGGCCGAGGCAGACATGCCCATTGAAGAGCTGCTGGCCCTCTACGCGGCGCGTCGCGGCGAGGAGGACGAAGAGGAGGAAGAGGAGCAGGCGGAGGGCGAAGAAAAGGACGCGATGGACATCGAGGACGCCGCCGCCACCACCGCCGCCACCACCGCCGCCACCACCGCCGCCACCACCGCCGCCACCACCGCCGCCACCACCGAGAGTCTGCGTGTTGTGGCGACCGCATCGGGAAGGACACCTGGCGAACGGGACGAAGCGGAGGGGCTGACAGCCGAGCTGCTGGCCGTGGGCAACCACCACCACCACCACCGCCGCGCCGAGGACAACGACGATGAGGACGACGAAGGACGAGCAAGGTTCGTGCACCCATCACCCCCCCCCTCACACCTTCCTCGCCTGCTGCCTGCCGCTGGGGATTCCCATTTCCCGCCCTTTAGCACACACGACCCGCCATGTGCGCGTGTGCGTGCGTGCGCGTGAGCGACGACATTGTGCGTTGCGTGGGAGCTGATAGGCAGATGGCGGTCCTTCCGGCCTCTCCTTCCTTTGGGCGCATCACACCAGGATCCGTCGGGCCGCCGCTGAGGCAACAGAAGCGCAGCCGACCGGCAACACGTTGTCCACCACCCACGTCAAGACACCCGTCCCCTTCCTTCTCAAGCACACGCTGCGTGAGTACCAACACATCGGCCTCGACTGGCTGGTCACCATGTACGAAAAGGGCCTCAACGGCATCCTTGCCGACGAAATGGTGCCCCCCTCCCCTCCCCGCCCCGCCCACAACTTCGGCCCTCGACCCCCCCTCGCTTGGGGGGAGCTATCATATGTGCCGGTCGTTAACCGAAACCTCCAAACCCCAACAACCCCCAAATGCAACACACACGATGGCCACACGTGGCTCGTCGCTGCAGGGACTCGGCAAAACGATTCAAACGATATCGCTGCTGGCCCATTTGGCCAGCGAGAAGCAAAACTGGGGTCCTCATCTGGTCGTGGTGCCGACGAGCGTGATGCTCAACTGGGAGCGCGAGTTCCGCAAATGGTGCCCCTCCTTCAAGCTCCTGACCTACTACGGAAACCCCAAGACGAGGCGCCTCAAACGGACGGTACTGCAAACACAACTCACGCGTTCCCCCCCCCCAGCTTGCCACATCTACCCCCCACCCACCCATCCCGGCGTGATAGAAATTCGATATACGGCTCCTCTTTCTAATAATATCTGAAATATAATCATATTTCGTCTCGCGGTGCTGCGCAGGGTTGGTCCAAACCGAACGCCTTTCACGTGTGCATCACCTCGTACACCCTCGTGTTGCAGGACCACCAGGTGTCGTTCCTCTCCCTCCTCCTCCTTCGCCTCCTCCTTCGCCTCCTCCCACCCACCTACCCACCCACCCACCCACCCACCCACCCACCCACCACCACCATCACGACTGACGTGGTGGTGGCTGGTGGTGGCTGGTGCGTGCGTGCGTGTGTGTGTGCACATGCTCATGCCCGCATGAACCGTTGGGCTGCATTTGGGCGGGGGGGCGAGCATAGGTCTTTCGTCGCAAGCAATGGAAGTATCTGATCCTGGACGAGGCCCACAACATCAAGAACTTCAAATCGCAGAGGTGGCAGATCCTCCTGAACTTCAATGCGCAACGGAGGCTCCTCTTGACGGGCACGCCGCTCCAGAACGACCTCATGGAGCTCTGGTCTCTCATGCACTTCCTCATGCCCCACATATTTCGCTCCCACTCGCAATTCAAGGTACGCGCCGGCTCCCCGCGTGTGTCGGGTAGGGTCGGGTCTGGTCTTGGTCGTAAGCTCATGCGTGGCGTGTGTGTGTGGTGGCGGCCCTCCTGGCCGCCGCCGCCGCCGCCGCCGCCGTTTGGTTACACAGAAATGGTTCTCCAACCCCATGAACGACATCATCGACAGCGGTGGCGATAGGCAGCAGCAGCAGCAGCAAGATGCTTTGGTCGCCCGACTGCACGCTGTGCTGCGCCCCTTCCTCTTGCGACGCCTCAAGAAGGACGTCGAGCAGCAGCTGCCCCGCAAGGTCGAGCACATCGTGCCCTGCCGCCTTTCCAAGCGCCAGCGACACCTCTACGAAGAATTCATCTCCCGCGCAGACACGCGGTACTCACTCTGTCGCTGCCCTCCCTCTCTCCCTTGACTTGGCCACCACCTCCCCACTCACATGGTCCAATGACTCTCTGCTCTCTCTGCTCTTCTCGGTGGTGGTCGTGGTGGTCGTGGTGGTCGTGGTGGTCGTGGTGGGCAGGGACAAGCTGGCGTCGGGGAACTACCTCTCGCTCGTCAACGTGCTCATGCAGCTGCGCAAGGTGTGCAACCACCCGGAGCTCTTCGAGGAGCGACCCGTGGTGTCCTCCCTCGACATGGGCCAGAGCATCTCCATGCACGTCCCCTCCGCGGTGGTCAACATGCTGGCCTATGTACGCGCGTTACGCCCCTTCTCTCTCTCTCTCTCTCTCTCGGTATTGTGTGTTGAGTTGTTCTCGCCGCGGGATGATTTTGCGTCGAGCTTGCTCCCGGCACCCTTGCCCCCCCCCGCTCGAGTGGCTGCGTACTCACGTCGTGTCGTGTCGTGTGTATGTCGTGTCGTGTGTGGTCTTGTTGCTGTAATGTGATGTGGTGCTATCGCCATCGTTTCGTCCGTCATCAGGAGGCAATGGATGACGTCGACCTGGGGTTCCTCAACCTGCGCTTCGTCGACAACGAGCCGATGACCTCGTGGCAATCCGATCGCGTGGGAGAACTGCGCACCACACGCGAGCAGGCCACCGCCTTTTGCTCCTCGTCCTCCTGGACGTCCTCGCTTTGGCCCCGCGGGGAGAAGCAGCAGCAGCAGCAGGAGGAGGAGGAGAGCTCAGCGGAGTGGTCGCGCGTGCGGCCCTTGGCTCTGGGGCGCTGGCGGGAGGACGAACAAAGGCGGCTCGCCCACCTGGTCTACTCCAACGAGTGGCGGTGCGCACAGCGACCCCTCTATGGCCTCGACCTCCGCCAGTGCGTCCGCGTCCCCGCTCGCACGCCGCCTCCTCCGCATCTCGCGGCTGCGGAGGATGGCCACGATGCAGGTCCTCCTCCGCTGGTGCTGTCCCATGAGATGCGGGCCCTCGCGGTGCGCGACCTCGTGACGCGCTTCACCTGCATCATCACCCCCGCCCGTGCACCTCCGCCTCTCCTCCACTGCTCCCACCCTCGCCCCTCCGACACCGAGGCCATGGCGCGCACCGCCTACCACCTCACCCAGGTACGTACCACCAGCCACCACCCTTCCTGTTTTGTCCCTCTCGTACCACTGCTGCTGCTGCTGCTGCTATTGCTGCTAGCACGCGTGCCTGACCCCGCTCGCCTTTGCCTGGCAGGAGCTATCCCCGCGCGCAGAATTACTTCGGCCGGCTCTGGTGGGGCAGCAAATACACTTCCCCGATCGTCGTACGGTTCCCCACTTCCCCCCTCTTCGGTGCACGTGAC